CGTAGGTGAGCTCACAGGGATCTAACCTGAGGACGTTGCTAACACTAGCCCTAGTAAGAGCAGCGCTTCGCAGAATCTACCGCCGGATCTTCACTGTGGGTCGCGTTTAGATCCGGCGAGAAACTCTGTGGGCTGTGTCCAGCTGTGTATTGATTTACTTGCCGAACCCTTCGTTGTAAGCGACGGGTTCGACGAGAACGGTGACCGGTGCTTGAGGTACATAAAAGCACCGTTAATGGATCGGGAGGATCCGGAACGACGTGCTTAGGGTGACGTCGACTGTTTACCATGCGATTGCTGACGAACATTTATCGACCAAAAAACACAATACCAACAAATAAAGTTACTTAATCTATTGTTTTTTATAATTATTATATGATGTTTTCTTGACGACGTCCCCCTAATGTTTCGGTTAAATTCTTTAGATCTAATTGTGCGGGCGAGATGAAAGCGACGCCGCGGGCTAGGTGTCGCCTGTCACGCGCACCGCACTCTAACGAGTAGGGATGAGGGTACACGACATCGATAAGAACATGTTTTTTTTTTATTGCTTAGATGGGTGGACGAGCTCAGAGCCCACCTGGTGTTTGGTTACTGGAGCCCATAGATATTTACAACGCAAATGCGCCACCCACCTTTAGATATAAGTTCTAAGGTCTCAGTATAGTTACAACGGCTGCCCCACTCTTCAAGCCGAAACGCATTACTGCTTCACGGTAGAAATAGGCGGGGTGGTGGTACCTACCTACCTAAGCTTCTTTAGTGTGTACAGTGGCGTAACGATCTAAAGTCGATTTAACATTTAATAGATTACAATGGCATTAAATTTAAGATATATTTTCTAGAAGTCTATAATAAAAAATAAAAAAAATTATCCAGCATTTTTTTGTTCTGCGGACCATTTGGCGCCTTTTTGTGAGAAGCGCCTGGTGTATGATGCTCCCCCTTGTCCCTCGCTACGCCACTGAATGTACTAACTTAACTTTGCTACAATCATCCAAACTAAAGTATGCGCTATTCACTTGCAAGCTTCAAGAAATCGGTGTATAGGCCAAATTAATTCATATCTTTCATGCAAACTTTATAACCCTACTCTTATGTGAGAAATGACATTGGAATGCCATTGAATTTGGTTGCGTTAAGAGCTACATACATACATGTATATATCATAAGGAATAAAATGTTTTATACAAATTATTTTCAGCTCTTTCGGTTTGCAATATATAAGCTATTTGTTTCTAATAAAACAAACAAAACCAGAACTATTTGTTGTAATACCGTTTACTTAGAAGAGCAGTGTTGGTTTGTATGAAATTTAAATTCGAAGTTGAATTTAATTTCAGTATTTCTAATGGAGCCACTTCTGACACCTGACCCAGTGCACCCAGTGGTGCAAACGCAGGCTATAACAGTTCATTCGTGTATCGTGTATCGTATACTATTACTTACTTACACACTGGTGGTAGGACCTCTTGGGAGTCCGCACGGGTATTTCTGCCGTGAAGCAGTAATGTGTTTCGGTTCGAAGGGTGGGGCAGCCGTTGTAACTCTACTGAGACCTTAGAACTTATATCTCGAGGTGGGTGGCGTATTTACGTTGTAGATGTCTATGGGGTCCAGTAACCACTTAATACTAGGTGGGCTATGAGCTCGTCCATCCATCTAAGCGATAAAAAAAAAAACAAAATCTAAGCATACTGGGAAATCCAAAATCCAAATGTTACCTTGCGATGTTTCGAGAAGAATGCGTTGTTTGCAAATGTTGAACAGAGCAGATAATTCTCAGACATCTCTTTATAGACATATCGACAGCTTTGGACCTACCTAACTTACACAATTATATTAGTTTTGCTCCGGGAATGATGTCCACTAGACTCGATTGGCCAGAGCATCTGCTTTAATAATACAATTGTGAATTTCACGTCATCGTGAGTGGCAGCCATTAAATTGTGAAACCGGTGTAGTCCGCGAGCTTGTCTTGGATTAAAAAAATAAAAATGTCAGACTAGATTGAATAAATTTTATTCGTCGACAATTTAGAATCGATAATCGATAAAGCACCATCGCATCACTAGTTTGTTTCGGAGAGAGCGTGTCCGTGGCACGGCTCGCACTTGCCACACCACTACCTCACCCACTGAACTTATATTTATTCCGTCATATGCAGACAGTTTGCGTATTAAAAAAAAATACTCTCATTTTGTGTATATATATTATACATAGCATTTATGGCTTAATAAGACGTACAATAAATAGGGTTTCTAGAATTAATTGTGTTTTTAAATAATTTGTTTACCTTTCGAGGATACTTTAATTTTCACTGTCATGTTAAACATATAACTAATTCAATATGAAGGAGCTATGTTTGTGGTCATATAAATGAGATTATAAGGAAAAGCTTATATAGCCAGGCGTGGTCGTCAGGCCTTCATAGCCAGAGTATCGCCGTCGTCGTGGCCTAAAGGCCTAAAGGATAAGACGTCCGGTGCATTCATATCTAGCGGTGCACCGGTGTTCGAATCTCGCTGGCGGGTACCAATTTTTCTAGTGAAATACGTACCTAACAAATGTTCACGATTGACTTCCACGGTGAAGGAATAACATCGTGTAATAAAAACCAAACCCGTTAAATTATAGTTTGCGTAATTACTGATGGTAGGACCTCTTGTGAGTCCGCGTGGGTAGGTACCACCACCCCGCCTATTTCTGCCGTGAAGTAGTTGCATTTCGGTTTGAAGGGTGGCTGCACTGAGACCTTAGAACTTATATCTCAAGGTGGGTGGCGCATTTACGTTGTAGATGTCTATAGGCTCCAGTAACCACTTAACACCAGGCGGGCTGTGAGCTTGTCCACCCATCTAAGCAATAAAAAAAAGCATGTCCAAATAATACAAATACTTCAAGGCCGCAATTTGCATACTCTCAGGAGTTTCCTCAAATGTCAAATAAAACGGTGGGGTGAATTTTTCGTCTGGCGTGAATATGGCTTAGGCCGCTTAAAATTTAGCTTAGCAGTGGGAAGAGGATAAGGTTATTGACTCACCACGAAACCCCTTGATGCACTTTTGATATTTCTCATAATCGAGATTTTTCTACATAACGGATCAACAAAATAAATTTTTGTTTTGACATTGAACCGTAGTTTTTTACCGCCATTTTTATTTTCAATTTTTTTTTTTATACGCAGTTTTTGCTTGAAGCGTCAACAGATGGCGTGGATAGTGGATTGAAGTAGGAATTGGGAAAATAAATCCCCAACATGCGGTACTTAACCTTAACTTTCAAAATACCACCACCACCACCATCAAATTTCGCAGATATTATTTTACGATATCCTTCACGATCGAAATCGGATACAAATCAGGACGACTTCGAATATTTGAAGTACAGCGGGCGTGTTGTAAAATTGAAAAGTAACTGACCTGTCTCCTTTTCTTTTATTGCCTTTGTAGGCAGACGAGCACACGGCCCACCTGATGGTGAGTGGTTACCGTCGCCCGTGGAGTTCAGTAATGCCAGGGGCAGAGCCAAGCCGCTGCCTACCGCATAACACTCTCCACAAGCCTCGTTTGAAGAAGGACATGTCATGCGCTCGGGAAACACCGTGGAGGGGAGCTCATTCCATAGCCGGATGGTACGTGGCAAGAAAGACCTCTGCAAACGCACTATGGATGACCGCAGTGGCTCCAGGTAGTATGTTGAACTCTACTCCGGTGGCGAGCGGTGCGATGGTAAAAACGAGATGACTGTATCAACAGTATCAGTCTCGAACTTACGATCTCTTGAAACACGCATGACACTGCTGATTCCCAGGTCCGTGTGTACCAAAGCTGTTTTGTGTGCTAAACATGATAGAATCCGTGCCCGCGCATAGGGAGTGCTGTTTGTTTGCTTCTCGTGGAAATTGTATTTTACGTGTCGAACGATCGGCTGAACATTTTATGTCAGTTGCTTCCGTATTAAATAAAATTCATTGCCCAAAAAAATACGGAGAAAAATCAGTGAAAACCCTTTTGTTTTTCTTTGTGAAGGTCTTTGCGTGCGCGATCTGTGAAACCAACTCTCGTATATAATTAAATTTCGATGGATTTTATTCCTATATTTGTCGATAGAATTTATTTTTTACCAGCTTGGGATTTGATTTGGAATAAAAGTGTGAGAAAATATGTGAGATTTTCTATTAAATTTGGGCCAATAAAACAGTTTATTGCTTCACACAAACTTGATTTTAATTCGGTATTTATTATGGCAAAGTAAATCAATCAAACACGTATTTTGTCTTCCGAGTTATTATACTATATGAAGTGTATAATCTATGATTATACTAATAAGTCTGTCCACTATTACGTCAGATAACTACCCACATTTCTCATCCCGCTTAAAAGAAAACCATAAGTCAAACATTCATTCGTCGTCTCTCTTACCTTCTGAGATGATATCTCCTATCTCTGTCTCTCAGTCATGCTCCACATTCGTCATTCCTCCATACATTCCTTTCAACCATGTATGTAGGGTAACCACCTAAACCTAGCTAAATTAGAGCAACTTCTTCATAACATATTCTTGTAAATGCTCGCTTAGTGCTGATGACAATGCTTTTTATTGTGTGCATTACTTTAATCTACATACAGGATCAGGTCTACAGTGAATAGCCCGGACGTGAATTATTACCAACGAGTATAATTTTAATAGCTGGTTTTAAATTTGACCCCGACACAGTTGCTACACTCAGATTTAAATGTGTCAATACGTTTATCGAGAAGAGATCGCCTATTGTACAAATTAACCTACAAGACTGATTTTAATGTAAATTGTGTTTTAGTACGCAATAAAGCTATCTCTCTCTCTCTCTATCTCTCTCTTTCTCTCTCTCTCTCTTTCTCTCTCTCTCTCTTTCTCTCTCTCTCTCTCTCTCTCTCTCTTTCTCTCTCTCTCTCTCTTTCTCTCTCTCTCTCTTTCTCTCTCTCTCTCGATTTTTTAAATGTTTTATCTTGTTACAGCTACAACAACAAACAAAGAACACAGATCTCCGGAACAGGAGGAGACCAGGTCCTCGCCGACGCCCGGCCCCCCGAGCCCTCAGAACAACGGAACTACTGGTACATTTATATAATATTATACATTTATATGTATATATTTTTAACTCAATACGTAAATAGCTTCGTTAAATAACAATCAAACTAATGAATATGGTAAAGAGGGCGCTTTTGGATAGGTACCAGGGCATCATTATTTTGTGGCTTACCCATTTATAGCATTACATATCCTCGTGAATCCTTTCAGTTGGAAGGGTATTGCAGTTTTTTTTTTCAAAGCAAAAGAAGCCAATTTTGATTTGAACGTCTTAATTCATGATTGGTAGCGACATTGCTATGATATATGCCTACCACCAGCAGTAGTAGCAAAAACTAGTGGCCATAACAAAACAAATGGGCCCAAATTCAGAGAGCTACCACAAGTGATCATAAAAAGTTCCAAGCATGGAAGCAAAGAGAGCTGTTCTTTATTAGTTATTCGGAAAGTGCCCAGAGCACGGAAATTCATGAGGACCCCCTGGAATTTAGCAGATCATCTGATAATAATTAATTGATAGAGAACAACCGGTGTAGATACCACTCTGAGCACTCTTATCACTACCAGATGGGAGTGACTCTGAACTATCACTGCTTTTAATGAAAAAGTTCGCCATCACATCGTAAGATCCCATCGTCATTGTTTCCAGGGCCACCAATATCTTGATATCAGCCCGGGCATCAAAGTGCTAAGCTTCGATTTCATCATTAGTCTTGTCTTACTAAACGACATTGATATTGAAGATCAAAGCGAATTCTTTCTTTAGAGTTTTATACGCAGAGTTCAAAATTGAACGAGCCTAAAAACTATGCCTATTTCATGTAAGCCGGAGTTATATTTTGTATAATGTTAATAATACAATCGGATAAGTTCGACTGGCCGGTAAGCGCCAAGTGATGCCAAGTGGTGGTTAGAAAGAGAAATCATTCATCATCATTCATTCATTTTAAAAATACTCCTCACAGTATTATCTTCCACAGCAGCTCTGTCCTCAACGGAGTCCCTGTCTCCTCCACTCGCTGATGGAGCACGGGCCCCAGCTCTGCAGCGGCTTCGGCGATTCCTCTCGGCTCTGCAGCAGTTCGCCACGGACGTTGGCGCTGAAATCGGCGAGAGAGTTAAACATCTTATCCACAATCTTGTGGTATGAAAGTTTTGTTTCTTGAAACTTTTAACCTTCTTATTGTTGTAAAGGGGTATACTGGCTTACGCTCCACTGGTTATGGTAGCCCTTAGTTAACGCCGCCTATGAGACATGAAGGCCTGATTAAATGGTAATAGGGACCACAAATGTACCCGTAGCAACTAATAATTATATGTATGTGTTAGCGGTAATAATAATTATATTGCAATGATGCTACCCCAGTTTCGGGATTGTCGGGCTGTGGATAGCACGTTAGGTTGTAATCTCAATATACGTTGGTCATTTAACTGTACACGTGTCTTATTAATCCTTGCCCGATATAGAGACTCAACACTGGTAACCCCGAATAACATCTTCGCATCTTACAAATCGAAAGAAATAGACAAATAATCATAAGCATCATCCTCTTTTTTTTTGTTTAGATGGATGGACGACCCGGTGTCAAGTCATCTGGAACCCTTAGACATGTACAACGTAAATACCCACTTTGAGACATGAGTTCTAAGGTCTCTTTTTAATACCTCTGCCGCGCCTTTCAAACCGAAACGCATTGCTTCACGGCAGATAGGTGGCCTCGTATAAGTGTATTGGCGTCCAGGCAGGTACAATGAACGTCGAGGAGTTCCAGAGCGGCGTGCAGGAGTGCACCAACTACCCGCTGCGGGCCTCCGTGCCGGGGTTCCTCCGCGCGCTGCTGCCGCTAGCACAGCGAGACCTGCACGCGCGCGCCCGCAGAGCCAAGCAGGTACACCACACCCTCACACCCCATAATAAAAAGGGGTACCAGGACGAACAGATAACCAGGAGGGAGGTTTTAGATCGTAGGTCACTGATACACTTTCTCAGTGGAGTCGGGCATGCCCATTGGCCCGGGCCCTTGGGTATCCATGAGGATTTCCTCCCGCCCACGCGAAAAAAAAAACCCTGACAGGACATTTTTTCTTAACGGATTTGATGACCTGGTAATTAAGACCTTTAAGTCATGTCTTATTTTAATTGTTATTCTTATTTTTATGAAAAATGATAATATCGAGTGAAATGAAATGAAGATGATTAATTTGAGACATTAATCAACCGGGATGAAATAAAATGAAATGAGATGATACGGGATGAAATATAATCTCAGTAAAATGGTGGTCATTTACTGAGATTTTTTCAGTGTACTTTTTTGAGGATCCCGAGAAGTTACGTCCAGCAGCTTTGTTTCATTTACCTACATTTGTGTACTTTCACAGATATTAAACAGTTAATAAACCACCGTTATTACACATTTAAACCTGACGAAACACTAAATAGACAAAATAAAACAAATCACACAACTTCACTCCTCGCGTTCCCGCCAAAAAGTCCTTGACAGGACATAAGGCCTACAACGACTAGACACAGATTAAGACAGACACGAACAGACGACAAGGAACGAATTGACCGTTCTCATACGAACATAAAATAGACGACAAAAGAACTAACCGATCGTTCAAGAACATACTGCAAACTCTATCCCCTCTATCCCCTCTATCCCCACTCTATCAACACATTCACATTACCTTTACATAGACCATTCAGTGCGATTGTTTTTTTTTCTGTTCTACAGAACCAGTGTTAAGCTAAGTAAGCCCATTGAGTTTCTCGCCGGATCTTCTCAGTGGCTCACGTTTCAGATCCGGTGGTAGATTCTGCGAAGCACTGCTCTTGCTAGGGCCAGTGTTAGCAATACTCCGGTTTGAGTCCCGTAAGCCAGGGTAACGCTGATATAGCCTCTCAAGGCTATCAGCATATGTACAAAAAAAACTAAAGCCACGTTCATCAACAGACCCCCCTGCAGTACATCAGATCTCACGAGCACCTGATCTTGGAGTCAGGGGGAGACTCCAGCGACATATTCGCTCCGCAGCATCCCGGGACAGTTCCCGAAGGGGGCATCAAGAGACGAGCAAGTGATCCGTGAGTAATACATAGATTGTTTTATTATATATCTATATATTAATACGTGAAGAAAAACTTTGTACTCCTTTTTACGAAAATTGCGCGGACGGAGGAGTATGAAATTTCCCACACTTATAGAGAATATATAGAAGGAGTGCACAATCTAAATATTTTTTATATTATGCATAAAAACACTAAAAATCAATAAAAAAAAACATTACACACACTTCCATCTATTTGACAAACACACACTTAAATACATGTATACTTTGTTTATTGTCAAACTTTTTTTATCTAAAGTTTGTGGTCAAATTGAGAATAGATTAGTATGTATTGTTTGTCTTTATTATTATTTTTCTAGTGTAGTCTTGGCGAAATCTGTGAATAAATAAGTTTAAGCCTTTGAGAATAGAACCATAATAATGTTCAAATTTATAATTTTAATTAATTATAGTCGAATTTCGACTACTGCGGGACCACTAGTATTAATTAATTCTAAACAGTGCTCACAATAAAAATACAAGGAGTATTAAAATTTTAAACTAGAGAAACTAAACTAAAACTACTTTTGACCTCACGTTTATTACTGCTGACATTTCGAATAGTTTAAGTTTTTGTGGTCACGGAGGATTAAGTAATCACTCATCAACGTTTTGCTTGCTTATTGCCTAATACCTGACTACCTATTTCTGCCGAGAAGCAGTAATGCGTTTCGGTTCGAAGGTCGGGGCAGCCGTTGTAACTATAATGAGACCTTAGAACTCATATCTCAAGGTGGGTGGTGGCATTTACATTGTAGAAGTCTATGGGCTCCGGTAACTCCAGGTGGGCCGCGAGCTCGTCCACCCAACTACGCAATAAATAAATAAATAAATTAACTGTTGTGTTGTATTTCCATTTTTTCGCACGGTAATAATGTAGACATGATAGTTTGTTTGAATTGGGTTAGGATCTAATTTGTTTATCTTTACTTCTCAGTTTTGTACCAAAAAATCTGTCCAAGTTCCAAGAAATTCCCGCCATTTTACTTAACTTTTTTTTTGAAGTCAGTAATATTGACTTAAAGGTCGAGTCACCCATAAACGTAAACAAATTATAAAGAGTACCCATCGAAATCTACACACAATCTTCCTTTTATTTGTTTCGCTTAGAATTGCAGTTCTATCTCATCCGATGCTGTACATGCGCCATTTGTTCAATACACGATAGGCAGTACGTTTTAAATTCCTTCCAATATCGTCTGCCTTCAAAGTTATAGGTACAACACTATCTCACCTACATCCGTAGAAACATTTGAAACGATAAATATTCTGAGTTATGTCCAAATGCATTGTGTTACGCTTTTAAAAACACCTGGATCCCATCAGTCTAATGGAGCGTGCCTACGAGAGGCGATGAACGATGGTTACCACGCTAACTGTGTTTATAACACTGTTAGTAACCAACTGACCACGAATTCCGACACAATGTCTAGCTTGACGACTCGAAAATACCATTTCTAAATATATTTGCTAGATAATTGAAAGATACGTGAGACTTTAATTAAAATCTGTTAATTCAACATTATTGAGCTGTCTATAATGAATTTAAGGATTTTTTAAGTAAGCACCTTATTGCCTAAACCTAGAAATCAAGAGAAAATTATAAATATACACGATTAAAAAAAAGCTCTAAACATTTTAAGAAAAAAAAAGATTAATATCAATATATTCGTTTATTTAATAAGTATGATATATCAGTTACCTAATTATTGTTGCACCTTTTTGAAATAGTTTTTTTTTTCACTAGAAATTTAAAGATATTAAACAAAATAGGTTATAATTAATAGGTCTTTTATTTATTACGGTTTTTTAAACAAGTAATATATGTATACAATCCAAATATTGCAAATGTTTATACATAATATGCTTTAAAAAAGGCGTGCCTATAGCCAACTGCTAATTTACTCCAGATTAATGTGCTCGATTCAAACATTTTATGAAGGTATGTTTTTTGCTGTATAACAGGCAAAGGGCTTTATGTTCAGTACTCAGATATATATTGTACTCAATTAAAAATGTATAGCTCCATAAAAAGGTGCTCACTCTTGTGAGTCCGCGCGGGTAGGTACCACCGCCCTGCCCATTTTTGCCGTGAAGCAGTAATGCGTTTCGGTTTGAAGGGTGGGGCAGCCGTTGTAACTATACTGAGATCTTAGAACTTATATCTCAAGGTGGACGGCGCATTTACGTTGTAGATGTCCATGGGCTCCAGTAACCACTTAACAAAAGGTGGGCTGTGACCTCGTCCACCTATTTAAGCAATAAAAAAAAACTTACATTAAGAATATCTGTAGAACTAGAGTGGGGTTGGAGACGGAAACAGTAATAAAAGCTACAATTAAGGCTGACTTTGGCGAAATAAGCCAAGCAGTTTTTGCTGTTTTAGGAAAGTTACAGGTATGCTTCCATAGAGCCACAAGGTGGGATGATCGCAATTTTCCAAAACTTTAAGTCAAGGTTTTAAGTGTACAGGGAACTCTATTCAAGTATTTTTTAAGGATATTTTTTTAAATAATTAATTCTCATTTGCAGTAGATATGTTAAGAAAAAGACAATAAATTGACACACGACTTCAAAAAGTAAATCTGACTTTATTCAACCTATGATGTCAAGAAATGTCACCTGACCTTAATTCAAATGATTCCCGAATATTAATATGTAAAGGAAAAACTTTGTATCTCTTTTTACGAAAATTGCGCGGATGGAGGAGTATGAAATTTCCCACACTTACAGAGAATATAGAGAAGAAGTGCGCAATGCTAATATTTTTTTAAATTTTGTCTAAAAAATACATTAAATCATTAAAAAAACATTACACACACTACCATATTTTTGACGCATGCATACTATTTATTTATAGTCAAACTTTTGTTCTTGACGTCTGTGGTCGGATTGAGAATAGATTAAATATTGTTTGTCTTTATTAATATTTGTCTAAAGTGTAGTCTTGGCGAAATTTGTGATTATAGGAACATAATAGTCTTTGAAAATAGAATCGTAATAGTGTACAAATTTACAATTTCAATTAATTATAGTCGAATTTCGACTACTGCGGGACCACTAGTTCCCGAAAAATCCCTTAATTAAATTTCGCAAAGAATCAAGCTACATCTGCTAAGAAAGACAAGTCAATAATTTCCTTTTCTTGTTTATTACAAAGGAAAAAAAGCTTTGGCTCGTCAATGATCAAAGCGTTCAAATCGGAAACTATCAATAATAGCGGTCCGGAGCAGGTGAGTGGTACGGACAGGTAATTTGTACGCCCCCCAACCCCCCCTCCCCGCCCCGCCTCGCCACCTGCGCTGATCCCGCACCCCTTCACTAGGGATGCCCGATAACCGGCTCAAACCGGCTCAACAAAACCGCCTCAACAAACCGGCTGTTGCAAATATTACAAACTCAAAATTCAAATTTCGGTGCATTCTCAAAAATGAAAACAGTACTAACGTTCCACGCTTAAGTGATTGCGATTATATATTTAATCCAATTAGAGTGCACGACTGGTTTATCAGAAGCAGACTTGTCGAAATGACATAAAATATATTGTCAGGGTTTTTAAGCTGCCTCATTGCAACACTAGCCACTGGATTGGTTCCCATAACGCTCGGACCAATTTCATCCGTTCGGTGGAAGATCTTTCCTCTGTGGTTTCCTCCAAGAATCATTATTGAAGCCAAAATATTTAAGTAATTAAGAACACACCCGTGTACTTACGTATGCAGAAATAAAAACCCGCTTTCGTTGCGCCTTTATTGATATAAAAATTAATCCGGTTCAAAGCGGCCGCATCCCTAGTTGAGTTGTCAACGTCAGAACCAGTGTATGAGTTTTTGTGGGTAGCCTTTGATGGCGCGGGATGGCCTACGATTGTTCCACATTGTCGTTTCCGTGTGCCCGTGGACAGCAACATTATCTTATCATTTGCTTTCGTGACGACAGAAATAAGTTCGTTTAGGCTCCTTAACATTGTCCTGGTCGGCCCAAATTAAATCAGATTGCAATTTTTTTCGGTTTAGTTTTGAAATTTTAAGCCTGCTGTCGACTCAGGGTTGACATTCTTGGGGAGCTCTGATTACGACAGAGGATAATGATTCTTCTTTTTTTCTCTCTTATTCATATTCTACGTGCTTCAATATGGATCCGCGGTTCATGTTCGTTGAGATTTGACCCAGTCTGTTGACCCACCCTGTGATATAGATTACGCGTTCCATATGACCACAGAAGCGTAGACAGGTGACGACACCCCCGATAGTTGAGCCGAGGGCCGTGAGTTCGATTCCCGCATCGATCGAAGATTCGTGTGACGAACTGGATTAGTAACAAGAGCAACCAAAAAAACATACGGGTCTGGGTAATTGCTTCTTCTTTCTATTTATGTATGTAAATCAGTCTCAGGTTCTCTTAATCAAAGGGATCCTAGTATAGAGCAAGATGACCATACGTAACTTGCACTCCTTTATAATTATAATACAAATTATTAGGATAAAAAGTCGTCGTCATTATTTCATGTCGGAAAATGCTAAAAATTTATGTGTTTTTACATTTATACGCTCAGTAACTTCTTAAATCAGAGAATTTTTTTTTTTAAGAGATTTTATGACCTGGTAACTAAGACCTTTAAGTCATGTCTTATTTTACTTTATATTCTTAATTTTATGAAAAATGATAATATGGAGTGAAATGAAATGAAGATGATTAATTTGAGACATTAAGTGAGTTACGTTAAGCGTGAAGACTAAATTAATTAAGGTATATTTTAAAATTTAAAAAGTTTCAAACAACGTATTACTGTATAATCTGTGACACCTATTAAATAAGAATTTCTGAGACTTTTTGGCGGGAACGCGAGGAGTGAAGTTGTGTGATTTGTTTTATTTTGTCTATTTAGTGTTTCTTCAGGTTTAAATGTGTATTAATGGTGGTTTATTAACTGTTTAATATCTGTGAAAGTGCACAAATGTGGGAAAATGAAACAAA